CCCCCCCCCCCCCAGCCAGGATATTTCACAGCCACCTCTCTCCCTCCTGCAGTAAAAGATACAAACATCAGCAATTAAATGATTAACACATTATAGTACTGTCTTTTCAGGATGCCTCAGATTTGCTGCCTGAGACAGGCAGATCAGTCTGCCTCATGGTAGGGCCGGGCCCACATCCTCTGAATGCCCCTTTGCTTTGTTTCTAGACAGAAAGGGCAAGGATATTGCGCTTTCATGGCACGTCTGGGTGGCTCCGTGGCACCACTCATCTTCCTACTAGATAGCATATGGAAGCCTCTTCCGCAAGTAACGTACAGCGCAGTGGCGGTGATTTGTGGTTCATCCGCTTTTTTCCTCCCTGAGACATTAAATGTCCAGCTGCCAGAAACTATAGAAGATACTGAAAATCAAAGGTGAGAGGGGAAAAGTCTAGATACTGTAGTTGCTTGACCTTGTTAATATGGATAGAAGATACTGAAAATCAAAGGTGAGAGGGAAAAAGTCTAGATAGTTGCTTGACCTTGTTAATATGGAGAAAGACATTTGGTTAGAGATGGTGACTCTAGGAGCCAAAATCAGTGATACAACAGTTGCCACAGTTGTGCCAGCAAAGAGGACCAAAAATACCAGCAGCTGAGCAACTCTATAGTGACAAACCAGTACTACCACTTTTCATCTCTAGTAGGAGCAGGTATTTTGTAAAGCCAATGAGTCTTGATTGCTCATTCAAGAACAAGCCTTCTGCAAATGTTTTGTGCAGTAACAGAGAGAGAGAGGGATCGTGCAAATGTATGTTTTTGGGGAAACTGTACCAACCTTTGTCCTGATTTGTTCTGTGGCTCTGTTTTGTGTTGATTATTGGCAGGCTGTAAGTGCGTTAAAATAATTTCAGGTTCAGGTGACTGTTTCCATGTTATCAAAACAGAGGATATCTGTGAACCAGACCCACCAAAAGGGAGGCACTGATCTGAGTTAAATTTGTCTACAGGAAGAGAGGGAAAGAGAGAGAGAGCCAGGGTTGTGCAATGCGTAGACTAGGAGGCAGGTGACCTGGGTTCACATCCCTGTTTGCGCCATGGAAACTAACTAGGGATGGCAGTAGTCAAATTCTCCTTGAACATCTTATGTACCTATCTCAAAAAACCTGTTTGGGTCCCCATACCAGAAAAGCACGTGGGCAGAACACAATAAAAACAAGAGAGTGTGAAAGAATAAAAAAAGAAGTCTTTGACTATAAAAAGAAAAGCAACATCTTTCACCACAAGGAAAACAATGATCCAGATGGCCTCTGCTCAGCCCTGATGTTAACTTTTTATTGATGGGCATCTTCAAAATCACCATTGTTCTTATGCTGCTTTCAACCAGACTACTGTATGTCCCTTCAAACAGACCAGGAGTGGGTTTTTCCAGATATTGATGGATCACAAACCCCATTGTCCCTAGCTTGTATAGCCACTGGTTAGAGATGATGGGCAATGAAGTTCAACAACATCTGGACCAACGTGTTGGCACAGCCCAGTAGCTAACAGACTAATAACAACTGCCTGTCTGAAAACATCTGGAGGGCAACCAGGATTCCCGTCATGCTAAAACAGAGGAGTATCCTGACTAGGAATCAGCATGAGCTGTCAGTTTGGCTGTTCAGCTTGGTTTGTCTACTGCCACAACAGGTGGTAAACATTTACCACCCTAGCCCCTCTGGCGGGCACCTGCTCAGAAGCAGCGTCTGGGCTTCCCTGCCCTGCCTCCTCCAGTCTCTGCTTCTGAGTGGGTGCCCACTGGAGGGGGCAGGGTGCTGAACCCTTGAACCCCTTTTGCAGTGGACACAAACAAGGCCGAACCAACAAATTGTGCCCATCTGCAATCCTGACCCTCCCCTGAGGCTTCTGTGGTCACAGAGTCACTTGGTTTTCTATTTTGGACTCAGTAAAGGTTATGGGGTCTCCTTGCTCTAGGAAGGAAAAAAATACTCCTAGGGATTCGCCCTTGTTTAATTTTCCTTTAATGTCATTTCCAGGGTAAGAAGCGCCAGCATATGAATTAGCAGCTCTAATCTTTCCTTTGCTCTTTTTTTCCCCTGCAGCTCAGAAGAGAAGAAAGAGTTGCGTGGGGATGCATCTGAAGCCATGCCTCTGCAGTCATTACAGAAGTGACTTGCTAAGCTGCTGATGCAGCTAGCAAGCCACTGGAGGTGTGGGTGAGGGGAGGGAAATGAGCAATGCAGGAGGAAGGATCAAGAGGCATGCAGAGCCAGCTGAGTGCAGGCTCAGATTTTATTCCACAATAAAGTGAACAGTGCAACTGCCTCTGGTGTCATTTCTCAGCATGCAGGTGAGCAGCAAGTGGATGGATGGGGCCTCTCCTTTCTAGACCTGGTGCTTTTCCGTGTAAACATTTAATGGCTCAGACAGAAGGGCCAGGAGTGACACACTGTGTTCCACAAGGCTTTCCCCAGCAGAAGGCTGGCAAAGTGGCTCAAAATATGGTGCTACCTGAGGACAGGGTGCTTGTTGACTCTCAGTTCCGTGTTCAAAAGGCAGGTGGACTGGAATTATAGTTGGGAAAGAATCAGAGATTGGACGAGATTTCTTTTTAGGAGCCAGTTCCCAGCATTCGCAGGACGTGGTGGCGCTGCGGGCTAAACCACAGAAGCCTGTGCTGCAGGGTCAGAAGACCAGCAGTCATAAGATTGAATCCAGGTGATGGAGTGAGCTCCCATTGCTTTGTCCCAGCTCCTCGCCAACCTAGCAGTTCGCAAGCATGCAAATGCGAGTAGATAAATAGGTACCACCTTGGTAGGAAGGTAAAATGGCATTCCCTAGTCACGCTGGCCACATGACAATGGAAACTGTCTTCGGACAAGCGCTGGCTCTACGGCTTGAAAACGGGATGAGCACCGCCCCCTAGAGTCGGACACGACTGGACTAAAACTGTCGAGGGGAACCTTTATCTTTACCTTTCCCAGCATTCACCAACCAGTACAATCAGTGGCCCTGTCGGTTGTGATATTCTGAGAATTTATTTGTTTAATTAGCATCCAGCTGACTCCCAGAAGCTGAGACCCAAGAGTATAAGCTGAGACAATTGCCTCACTGTGCCCAATGGTGGGATCAGCTCTGATGGCAGGCAGCCTTGCTTATTCACCCAGTAAAGAGCATAACATGTCATTTGTTGCATAATACGTGGTTAGCCAGGGATGTGGTGGTGCTCCGGGTTAAGTAAAGAGCATAACATGTCATTTGTTGCATAGTACGTGGTAGCCAGGGATGTGGTGGCGCTGCGGGTTAAGCCACTGAAGCCTCTGTGCTGCAAGGTCAGAAGACCAGCAGTCATAAGATCGAATCCACGCGATGGAGTGAGCGCCCGTCGCTTGTCCCAGCTGCCGCCAACCTAGCAGTTCGAAAGCATGCAAAATGCAAAAATGTAGATAAGTAAGTCCCACCTCGGTGGGAAGGTAAACGGCATTCCATGTCTAGTCACGCTGGCCACGTGACCACGGAGGATTGTCTGCGGGCAAACACTGGCTCCATGGGTTGGAAACGGAGATGAGCCCCGCCACCTAGAGTCAGACATGACTGGAAAAAATTGTCAAGGGGAACCTTTACCTTTACCTTTAGCCAGGATTTCAAATGCAGAACCGTGAGGTCTCAAGGCTATGCCAACGCTTATTCACCCAGTAAAGAGCATAACATGTCATTTGTTGCATAATACGTGGTTAGCCAGGGATGTGGTGGTGCTCCGGGTTAAGCCACTGAAGCCTCTGTGTTGCAAGGTCAGAAGACCAGCAGTCATAAGATCGAATCCACGCGATGGAGTGAGCGCCCATCGCTTGTCCCAGCTGCCGCCAACCTAGCAGTTCGAAAACATGCAAAATGCAAAAATGTAGATAAGTAAGTACCACCTCGGTGGGAAGGTAAACGGCATTCCATGTTTAGTCACGCTGGCCACGTGACCACGGAGGATTGTCTGCGGGCAAACACTGGCTCCATGGGTTGGAAACGGAGATGAGCACTGCCGCCTAGAGTCGGACACAACTGGAAAAAATTGTCAAGGGGAACCTTTACCTTTACCTTTAGCCAGAATTTCAAATGCAGAACCGTGAGGTCTCAAGGCTACACCAACATAACATATGAAAATGCAAGTACAGCCTAAATGCTGTCAATCCAACCTATAAATACAACCCAATTACACAGATTTTACATGTCAGATACATTTTGATCCCTCCTCACCTGCTTTCAAACAACTGCTTCTCATTCATCTCCTTCCTACCAGAGGTCAGACATCATGACTATCCTCACTTGGACTGCAGCAGCTATAAACTATTATATTGTGCTGCAACCATAATAGTCTCCCAAGATGCTTCAGCCAGTAAGTTCTTCTCCTTTCTACATTTCTTTTACTCAAGGAAGCTAATTTGGACCATCTCTCCTCTTCCGTGGCTGTAATCCCATTGTTCATTCAACCAGATTCCAGTGTACTTATATTTGTCAACAAATGCCATATTTTCATTCTAGATGTTTAACTTCATTTATTGGGCTGCTTGTTCTTTTCCTGATTGCGATGACCTTGCTTTTCTGAAAATTCACTTTCATTCCTTATGTGCTTCACTGACGTAATGAATAAACTTTGTAGACCATCTAAATTATAAGATAATAGTATTATACCATCTACATACCAGAGGTAGTTGATAATTTCTCTGTTGGCAATTATACCATCAGCTGAATCAGCTAGTGTTTCTCTAAAAATACAATCTGGCTACAGATTAAAAAGTCATGGTGAAAGTATGCATGTTATACTAACCATCAATACACTGGAATACAAATGTAGTCTAAAATGCTTAATTCATATTGAATACATGGTTTTTAAAAAGAAAACTCGATTGAGTGTGGGTTAATTGAAACCAGATTTTGGTGTGGTCGTTTTTTATGGAGGAAACCATATATTAAAAGTATAATTCTATGCTGTCAAACTAAAATGAAACCACTATAATTTACTTTCTGACATAAATATGCTGGAGAATCAGCAAATTGGTTTAGAATAACAAGGTTGGTACAGGGTGCTTACATAAAAGAAAATTACCTTAAATGGCTGGGTCATTTGACTAATATTTATTGAACCACCATTTTTCTCCAGGTTTCCTGTGTGTGTTTGTGTGTGTGCACACACATGCATGCACGCACACGCGCATGTATATGTATACACATACACATACAGGCTCTCATGCATCATTGATGGACAAATCTGGTATCTACCAGTGCACAAAAAATTAAGAAAACTCTTTTTAAAGGAGACTACTCTAAACTGACAGAGAAATGGATAAAATTCAATAGTTTCTCTTGTTGAAATGTGCAGGCTGATCCCTGAGTTTCTTCTCTGTAACAAAGTCTGCTTTACTTTAATTAAATTTTTGCAATAACCTTTGGGGAGAAACCATAAACTGTGAAATACTGAGATCTTTGACTTATGTTAATTTGGTCTGCCTCCTCAAAAGGAAAATGACCTTGTAAGAAGTGCCTTGAATCTCCTCATACTCAAGGACATTGTTCAGGGGAAAAGGAAGATAAATCAATATTTTTAGAACCATATTGATTTGGAAGAGGTCCTATCTGCCCTGGTTATGCAGTACGCAGCGCCTTCATCTACTGCAATGCCTCCTTATAAATTCATACAATTAGCCTTGAACCATATATCATTCAATGAAAAGTTAATGTGATTGCACAGATTACTTAAGGGAAACCATTTGTTCAAGAATTTCCACCCAGCCTTGAGCTCCATTTCCTTTCCTTTAAATTAAACCAGGAATGAAGGATGCCAAGATGGTTATTAAGAAACCAACTAGCATCAGAGGCTATGTCCTGCCCTTTAATCAAGCACTAGAAAGCAGCACAAAAGAAGCTCCTTTTCCTGATATGATTTCAGAACATCCCAAAGTTTTGGAGGAAAACAGGATGGACTAGAGAACTGTTCAAATTTCCAAAATATGGGGAAATTAGTGCCAAAGCTGCAATGGGGCTTTCAATACGGATGTACTGTATATCAAGGGTCCCCAACCCCTGGGCCGTGGACCAGTATAGGTCCGTGGCCTTTGAAGGACCGGGCCACCAAGACAGATCTTCAAGGGTTGAAGGAACGCTTGCATACACATGTATGCACACGCCTGCCTGCCCTCCCCCCCACACACACATCTACCCCCTGCACAGAAACCCTCCTGCCATTGCATGCACACCCATCCCACACCCACCCAGCCTTCTGCCACCACCCCGGTCCTTGGGAGAATGGTCTTCAACTAAACTGGTCCCTAGTGTTAAAAGATTTGGGGACCACTACTGTATATCATTGTACTTTCAGTGCTGGGGAAATGTCACCCAATAGTTAAAAGGCACTGGAGAAAATAATATTTAAATTGGGAGGAGAGAGGTTTTAGGGTTCTTGACCTCTTCCTATGACTGTCTTGGGTTTTCCCAGCAAATTTTTCAAATTATAAACTGGCGTGTGCCAGTTAACTAAAGAGAGAGACAAAAGAGCTTTGCCTGTTCTCTCCTGCAAACATATAGGCTCTTTAGAAAGAGATCAATATGGATCTCAATTAATCCCTCAGTTTCAAATCAAATCATTTCTGTTGACTGAAGGGAGAAACACACATTAGTGATAGCCTATGGTCAGAAGATGAAATTCCTTAACTGCTGAAAGCATCTGATTTCAGTGCAGGTTCATTTTTGCAAATTAGATAGCATTGTTATGTGATTGATCTTCAGGACTTAAGCATGGGGTTCCTCTGATGTCTGAATTCTCAAACAGGAAGAACTACCTGAAGGACTACCTGAAAGCTTTCAAATTCTTCAGTTCTACACACAGGCTATCTTTAACATCTCTTTCGGTTCTTAAGCCAGGGTGAGCAAACGGGATCCAGGGGCCACATATGCCCCACAAAACTGTTTTTACAGCCTCCAACTCCTCAGATTCCCACAGCCCTCCCATAACTCCTCTCCACAAAAAAATAATGTACAGTATTAATGGTGCTGGAAGCCTCTGCAGCTGCAATTCAAATTATAAATAGGCAGACTCTCTCTGTACTTATCCTTTCTTCAATGTAAAAACTGAATTTCTAGTTATCGTTGGTGTAATTGTTTTCCTTTTTCTTGGACATTTTTCACAGTCTTTGTAGTCCTTCACAACTTTACCCTTTCCTTAGGGAAAAGACAAGATGGTACTTCCCATCCACACCCTTTGTCAGTTCGATGTTCAAAAGCAGCCATGGTGAAAGAACTTAAGGTTAGCAGATACAGTGCGAGTGGGA